CCTTCAAACCTGGCTAGGAACTCCCACCTCGAGGCCACGGGCTTGCTCTCAGGTGACGTATCTATCCTTTTAGACAACAGAGAACCCACCAAATCACAGCCAAGAGGCTCTCTGGGTGACTTAGTGGCCTGTCTCTCTATCTGACAGAGGGCTCCTGAGCTTAATCAAGCTAGAGTTGATGTCCCCTCTCCCCTCCCGTGACCTCAGGACCCATTCAAAGGCCCCTGAAAACTTTCATAATACATTTCAAGTCTGGGTATTTATTTGACTCCCCACCTGAGAGGTAGTTTGCAGGTGTGGCTAGGACACACCTGGAGTCAGGCCGAGATCTAGGTTCAATCCTAACCCTGGTGTCCCGGCCTGAGAGTGAACCTACCCCACACAGCTGTTCTCATTGCCCTTCCCATCTTTACAATGGGGATGCCACTCCCTAGGTCCTGGAATACCCTCCACATCGTCACAGTGGGGTGGGATCCCTGTGCCCTGGATGCTCAAGGATGCCCCCGCTCTGTGTGTGGGAACTTGCCTGTGTAGTTGCACGTGGAGGCCAGAGGCTGACATTAGGATATCTTCCTCAATTGCCTCTGCTCAGAGAGGTGACTATGTCAGGGAGTGTACTTCTCCTTGTGTACAGGTCACTTTCTCAGCCTAAACTTTCCCCAGTATTTGCTTTATCAGTCTGACACTGATGCATTTGCTGTGCAACACCAGGCTCTGGCAACCCTCTCTGGCTCTGCTTCTCTGACATCCTGTCTGCACCTATGGGAAAAGCACTGGCAGACTTGCCCATTCAGACATTTCAGGACCCAAGGAGTCCCTGGGGTGAGGCTTGGGTGGCGTGGTAAGCTAGAGTGTTAGCCTCAAAATATGCCCAACTTGACAGGGCTGGGCTCAAGAGCCAGGAGCAGGGCGGATGCTCAGGGATTCTATCTGCCAGGACTGGACAAATGCTGCTGGGTATATCTGGGCTAGGTGACAGAGTTACTTGGCTGTGAGCATCAGAAGCAGGTTCCTCAGTAAATGGTAGGCTGATTCATGGCTGGCTGTAGCTGGTCTCTGTAGGTACCTGTTCCCCCCTTTTTCTCTTGACCTCCCTTGCTAACAGGATCCCAGACTTCAAAGGCTACCTCCATTCTCAGCTCTAAGGGTCCCTGTCCTCACTCTGTCCTTGCAAAAGAGCAAGACCCTCAGAACACAACTTCTTTTCTTCCTTCCCTCCTCCAGCACCAAGGTTCTATTTAGGGGTAGGCACTGAGGCAAGGTGAAGAGGAGGCATGAATGTAACTCTGGTCCCAGGGAGGGGGTGGGGCCCACCAGAAGCTCTCAGAGGCTGGGTTTTACCTCCCTTGGTTCACTCTGGCTGTCAGTAATGCTCAGTTATGCCCAGGTCACTGTTCAAAGGCACCTGGACCAGACAGACAGACAGACAGGAGAGGTGTAAAATATAGAAGGCTATGGCTGGCTGGGCAGGGCTGGGAAGGACAGGGAACAGTTTGGACTTCACCTGCTTACCAGGACAGACAGACAGACACCTGTGCAGATTCTGTCTGGCTCAGAACAGCATCAAGAAAACATGCAACAGAGCTCCCTAGAAAACGCAGGTGACAGAGCTATAGAGCTGCCCCACAGGGCACCTGAAGCTGCTCTGCCTACCTCACAGGCAGTGGAGGCTGCAGGGCTCAGCAGCCTCAAAAAAAGCCCTAAGCACTCCTGTCCTAAACTGAAAGGACCAGTGCACCCATTGCCAGACACCAGTGAAGAGAGCATGATGGAATCATCTGTTTTAATCCTGTTAACAACAACCCTGGAGGTTAGGTACTATTATTGCTTCATTTTATAAATTAGTATTCCATGGTTGAGAAAGGGCAAGTCACCCATCTGCAGTACAGAGCTAGCAAATGGCAGTCAGGTTGGGAGACAAGTATGCAGGATTCTAGGTGGGCTCTGCAGCTTTGCTCACACTCTCCACGAAGGGTATCAGTGCTGTTAAAATCCTTCACTACAGCACGGGAGCTATCGGGCACTGTTGTTATTTCACAGAGCCCACAACAGGGCAGGGCCGTTCTGAGAAGCCGCTATTTCCTTCTCTGCCTCACGGCTGCAGGCTTCTGTGCTCAGACGATGAGGATTCTGACTGTCTGGTGGAATCAACCTAAAAAAGCCGGGGACTAATCTTTCCAAAGCCCACGTCTTCGAGGCGCCGTGTCAGTATTTGGGTTGGACATAGGCTTGTTATGGTAACGCAGATGAAGCCCCGGATTTAATAAGACTGAGACAACGGGAGCAACATGAACTACAACAGGATATTGCAGGGAGATCTAGAAGCTTCCTCAGGCTTCTTACTGAACAGGGCAGGGCTGCCCGGGCAGGGGAGGGCCAGGCAAGGGCGGGGTTACCTGGAGGCCAGAAGGGTTCAGGACTAAGGGGCAGTGGTAAGGAGCAGGCTCCACACCCAGGCTGCCTGGTACCCGATCAAGCAGAGGCTCCACAGGCTAAATTTAAACCAGCTGCCAACATGGGGGGGGGGAGGTAGGGGTGTTGCAGTTAGATTGGGTGAGGGGAGCTTACCTCATGAAAGCTGTGGAAATGCTGCTGGGAAGATAATAAAAGGATTAACTGCTATTTTAGTGGGCCATTTACTCCTCAATCAAAACGTCTCATCTATTTCCTGTCCTCCAGAGGCCTCAGGTCCAAGATTCCTTTGTCTATTACAGACATAGTAGCACAGGCCTGTCATGAGAAATTAATAATTTTACAGGGATGGGAGCTGTTATTCACCTGGGTGTGGGCGGGGGTCTGCTCGTTGCCATGGTTACTGATTCCCCCAGCATAAGGGTACTCTTACCCTTGGGCATGGGCAGGAGCAACCTGGGGTGGGGCTCCACTGAGGTTCCCACTGCAGATGGCAGGGACCCAGAGAAGCATCTAAATTAACAAGGGCGCTGCAATGGACAGAGATGTGGGTTCAATCCCACTCTTGTGGTTACTAGTGTTACAATTTTGGACAACTTATTTTCATCATCACTACTATTGTGATTTTTAGCCTCTGTTATCTTGTTGCTTGTATTATTTCCTCTGATTAGTGGTGTGACCTGGGGGCAATTGTGCTACCTCTCTGAGCTTCATATCCTCATCCATAAAATGGGGGTGAACAGTATCTATTCACAGAGCTTTGGTGAAGATCACATGAAGTTGCCACTTAGAACACACCTGTGAGGTTGGCATTCAGCAGCTGTTTGCCTAAACTGTGCTTCTAACCTGGAGGGGGTAAAGCCAAGAGTGTGGGAAGATGGCCAGACCCATCTGACTCTGACCTTTGCTTTTCCCTATTTGAAAGCTCTGGGTTGCATAGTGCCCCCGATAAAGACTAAATGCATTCCCCCAGTAGGCATCAATACCACCTCCAGGAAGCCTTCTGGGCTCCTCTCCCTGGGCAAACTCCATCAAGGCCTGTCACAGCCTGGTCCCTGCTGGCCTGAAGACACATCCCTGAGTGTGAGGTTCTTCAGAGCAAGGACTGTGACAAAACCAAGTCTAGGTCTGTAGTATCCTGTAGAGGCTGGAATTAGGTGGGAACCCTGACCAAGAGAGATCCGGAGGCTATGTAGAACAACCAGGCCCCCACACTGGGACTCAAGGAAGGTCTAGGTTATCCCATAGGGCACTCTTGAATGCTGGGAATCTGTACAGAAGGTCCCAGCATGAGAGCATGGCTGGCCACCTCAGGTTACTTCCTAGGTCCACATAGATACCATAGGTTCCCAGAAGGAGGAAGATGTGACTCACAACTGCGGCTCGGCGTCTTGGGGAACGACAGGCTGTTGCCAGCAGCCCTGGCCTATGGACTTGTTGATCTTCTCCATCTTTCATTAAGCCATGTGTCTTAAGACCCCACATGGATATGACATCTTCAGAGACTAGCTCAGCCATCAGCCCTCCTGCCCGCACACTCTCTGCCCCAACACTTGCAAATAAAACTCTCCACCAGCTCAGTGCCCTTCCCTGACACCTCTGTGCTACACCACAGCTCTCAAGTGCAGCGCCTACCTCTTCCCCTCCTTAAGGCAGCCCACCTGTAGCCTATCTATGAACTGACAGACTCCTTACCCTTCAAGACTGGAGGGCATACTCACTCTACAGCCAGCTAACAGTATCACAAGCGGATGAGCCTTGGGAATAAGTGTGGTCCCCAGAGAATGACTTTATACCACAATTACCAATGCTTTCTACCTGATGCCCCACGAACGTCACCCTGTGCTCTGAGCAGGGACCTGGAGCTCCTTCTAAGACTGGAAGTGACATTGGCAATGCATGGTGGGAAGAAATCACAGGCTGGAAACACTATTGCCTGACAGCTCAGAAGGGGAGACACACATGGTCTGGGTGACCTGTGCTGTTAGTGTCATGCAGCAGCCTCGAACCCCAGTCCTTCATCCCCAGGCTGCTGCTTCTGGGAGGTAGAGGATAGGTATGGGGACTAAGATCCCGCACCTAGCCTGTGATAAGGCTTTCCACTACAGCAAGCATGGGAGTGGCCAGCCAGAAGGGCCGGGGGGCCAGGCGCCTGCTTCTAACTCACGTGTATCTGCACAAGCACACATGCTACTACTCTCTCCCCAGACCTTTGTGTCAGGGCCAGCCCGAGCATTGTTGATGCTGTGCAGGGTCTTATGCTGGCCCTTGACCTCAGCTCCAAGCCTGCCCTAGGGATCCAGTACCTCTCTACAGAAGCCGGTGCTGTGAAAGTACACTGGGTTAAAGGCCAGTGCTAAAGGAGGGCACACTCTCCACTTCTGCCATCTGCCACCCTTGGGTGACATGGAAAAAGACAAGTCTGGCCAGGCTTGCTTTAGGTTTAGAGGTCACGTGGCACCAGGCTGTGTGGCATGCTAAGTTACATCTAATACCCATCAAATGCTTCAGTGTGGGGGACAGGACCCCCGGCAAAGACAAGGCAGTCCTGCCAGGGTTCCCAGTGACAGGAACACAGATGGTCTTACCATGCACTTGTTGGGCTTCTCGCCCGAGTGTACCCTCATGTGGATGAGCAGCTTGTAGCGGGCGTTGAAGGGCTTGTAGCGGCGCACGCATCCGGCCCAGAAGCAGGTGAAGTCTTCGCCCTTACGTTGGTCGATGTGGTTCTTCTCAATGTGCCGCACCAGTTCCTCCTGCTGCTCATAGGCCGCGCAACAGTCCACCCAGCGGCATGCCTGCCGCCTGGCCGCCATCCGGCCTGCCAGGCCTAGCCCTAGGCCTCCAAGGCTGGGGCCGGCTGGCAACTGAGGCAGCGGGTAGGGGGGTGGCAAGCCCTGCTGGTGAGGAGCAAAGAGCTCTGAGAACTCGTCCATGGGTTCCTGCTTCAGGAAGCCTGACTTCCGGCATGCTTCAAGCTGCAGGCTGCCCTCGTGGCCATCACTGGATGCAGGCCCAGACCCAGGCCCAGGCTGTGTTCGCTTGGGAGGGCCCCCCAAGTCTCCTGGTAAAGGTGGGCTTCGGAGTCCATTTACACAGCTGACTAGAGTTGTCTGGGAGGAGTGGATGACAGGAGTGATGTCAGAGGAGGCACAGGGTGAAGAGGAAGCTGAAGAGGCAGGGGGCAGGCCCAGGAGGCAGCAGTGTTTCAGGCTGCCCTCAGGGAGGTGGGCCTCAGGTTGAGGACCGATGACTGAGACAGGTTCATTGCCCAGAAGGTAGCAGGAAGGTGCAGGGTTAGTGAGGCCTCGGCCTGGGAAGTCCAGCTCTGACTGCAGGCTTGTGGAAGCTGGAGCCCGGCAGTGGGTGGGCAGGGGTGTGTGGGCACTGGCCATGGCCTGGTAGTCAGGCAGGGCTTCCTGCTTGATGTGTTGAGCTGCTGGGAGGCTGCCATTCACATATGTAGCCTGAGGTCTGGGTGACCTGGAAGACAGTGACCAGAGTGATTATGAAGGGTAGCACTCTCCAGTGGCGAGGGTCAGGTGGGGCTCGTGGGAAGCAGAGGACAGAGACCTGGATGGGATCCAAGGAGACAGAGCATGTGAAAGACCAGAACTGGCTGTGCCAAGGGCAGGGAAGAGGTGGGAAGAGGAGAAGCAAGAGGAGGAAGAGGCAGCCTAGAGAGAGATGGAAGAGGCAAGAAGGCTAACCAGAGATGAATGAGGAAGGACACCAGGAAGGATACAACAACCCTTTGCCAGAACCTGGACCATCTACTGCTTCTTTCGCCATCTTGCTTTCCTCCCAGCTTCCCTGGGGTCAACCCTGACCCACCCCCTGACCTTCAAACGAGCACTGTGGGCAAAAGGCTACGGCTGGCATTTTGGGGAGTCTTCAGGTTCAGCAGGGTTTTAATTCTACTTACATTCCCCTTAAAATTTTAATTTCTGTAATCTTTCCTTCATTTAATGGCATCTAGCCCTACCTAGCTTGTCTTTTCATAGTCTGTGTGACTAGATGGGAACCTGAGGCACAGTCAGGGGACAAGAGTCTTAGCAGGGTGGCCCAGAATTCTGAGTTCAGGTGTGAGTATGTGAAGCTGCAGTTCTGGGGAGAGACACAGGAGATGGGAGACCAGGTGTGAGGCTGGGGCCAGCTCCATTCTAGATAGCAAAAACTCAGGCAAATCGCTTCACTCTGGACAAGTTCTGGGACTCTATCCTCAGTAATAACCAAATAATCCCGTTCCTGATCATGAAAATGACAGGATGGCAGGGTGTGGACTGGCCACATAGGTCATCTCTACAATGTGAGTGGTCCAGTTTCCCCAGTGGAAGACAGCCCTTCAATCCCCTCTACAGGAGGCCATGTTTAGGTAGACAAGGGAATTTCTGCACAGACCTACCCACCATTGTGGGTGGTGACAAGGTAAGATACAGGTAGCAATATCAGGGCAACACTGTCACTGGAAGACTGGATATGGGAGAGACCTGGAGAGTGATACTGGCAGAAACGCCTTGCCAGTTGCTCCAGGAGCTAGAGGCCTGGACATATGCTCGGAGCCTGACTAGGATGCTCTGTCTCACTCTGCTTCCTCATCTGTGACTCAACAGCCACACCACTATATGTAGGACTACGAGGGTGATGGCTGGGTTTAAGGGTTAGCTAGCTCCCTGTGAAGGAGAGGGTTAGGCCTTGGTACCGTTTATTACTGCTTCTGCAAGACCACTGTCCCATGGCTCTCACAGCCAGAACTGAGTTCTCCAAGATAGCCTTGAGACCCAGCCCCTCCCCCTCTAGATCCAGGAGCTCTAGACAATGGGTGGAGAGAATGGAAATGAGGGGGAAGGGAGAGTCAGAGCCCGAGGTGTTCAGAGCTTGGCCATGTACCCTGGGTCACTGCAGGGTCAGTGCGGGGAGTAGGGCCCGAGGTTTGAGAGCCACTGGGCCATCATGCAGTAGCAAGCCAGTGCCAGGTCTGGACCAGGATCCTAGTTTCCATCTCCTGTGCAGAATTGGCTGCAAGCTCTCCTTGACTGGAGACATGAGGGAAATGTCTGTCTCTCAGACGTTAAGCGACTGTCCACTGAGCTCTTTTCCCTCTCAGCATCTCTGCTGGGGAGCAAATGCATATGCCATCCCCAGGGGTGGGGGCACTGGGCCTGCCACAGCCAGCAACAAGTTCTGCTGAAAGAGTCAATGTGAAAGTAGGGGCTTTGTAAAAGTTAGAGAAACAAAACCATAGCTGTTGCTTAGCAGGGCACAATGCTGGCAGAGGAAGGCTGGCAGATAAGGCAGGGGAAGCACCAGTCTGGAGCTTTTACTAATGGCATCAGGTCAATGACTGACATCAGCAAAGAGGAATGGCTGCAGCATCTGGCTGAGGTAGGAATATAACAGTCAGAATGGCCTCTGTAGGAAGAGTGGGAGGCTCAGACATGAGGTCTCACAGGTGTGGCAGGGTCTGGCTTTTTCTCTCTGTCCCTGGGTGGCCTGGCAGGTGGTTCTGGCTGCTCTACAATTCTCTCTAGAAATTGTGAGCCCAGAGCCCTGAGTACACGATGGCTAAGAGCCAGATACACCAGGCACCCCTCTGAGAGCTGACTCTATCCTAACAGTGGAATGATGGGCACTAAGTTCTACTTGGTACAGGACCAAACCTTTATAAAGGATACACACCACCTGTTTTACACGAGCCTATACCTGCAAAGCCATGGGTGATGGAGCAGGAGCAGACACCTGGGTCCTTATGAGCCAGAGTCCCAGAACTCTCACAATGCCATTACTGAGAATTCAGCAATCTACCTGTCACATGACTTTGTGAGAACCATGTCATTTCTTTAGGTATCAAAATTCTAAGTCAAGGGCATAAACCTCTTGATCATTGTCTTGGACTCCACAGAGCTGCCAACTTGAGTAATCAGCTTTTGCAGTAGAGGTGTGCTGCGGGGAGGTCCTCATACCTAGCAGGCTCAGCTTCTGTGGCCTCAAAGCCTGCAGCCTGGGCTGAGGCTTTGTCACTCAGTGCTGTGTGATTCTGAGGACATGGGTGACTTTAAGCTCAGGCTCTGTCTTTGGGAAGCTGCACTCCCCTCCCCACTGAGAGTGTATGGACAATCCGCTGAGAAATACTGGAGTTCCTGCAAAACGAAGAGAGCCAGGCAAGGGGCTTTGAAGGCCAAGGCCTTGCATTGCAAACATGTGGGCCCACTCAGCACAGAGCCAGAAGGTCACAGAGGTAGCCGAGGGGCTGGAGGCTGGGGCCTGCAGCCTAGGCCTCCTCATCTACGAGAGGCCTCTTTACTATGTGGTTCTCTTAGTACTTTATAGATCAAGAAAGGGGCTCTAGAGGCCAGCTATCTTTCCCATGGTCCCCTGGGGAGCTATTGACAGAAGTAGGACAGGATCTCACCTGAACATTCTACTGGCCATAATGGGGGTAGGGAGGGCAGCCATTTTATTTTTATTTTATTTATTTATTGTTTTTTGTTTTTTTGAGACAGGGTTTCTCTGTATTGTTTTGGAGGCTGTCCTGGAACTTGCTCTGTAGACCAGGCTGGCCTTGAACTCACAGAGATCCACCTGCCTCTGCCTCCTGAGTGCTGGGATTAAATGCGTGTGCCACCAATGCCCGGCTTGAGGGCACCCATTTTAAGCACAGAAATGACAAAACTGGGATATTCCTAATGCTACTTAAACCTCTGCACTGCCTCACAGATCAATGTCATTGGACAAGTGATGTAAGCCACACATCCTCCCTGCCTCAGTTTCCACCATGCCATTTGTGGGTTATGGAGGTCAGTATCTACCCAATGACTCATAGTAAGCACTCCATGGCTGCCATTCGACAGCAAGGGGACCAGGGACCTGGCCCCAGGACTGTGAGACCCAGTGAGAAATTACTCACATGCAGCAGTCATTAACACCGGGAACTAGGCTGCAGGCAAGGTGACTAGCCGGTGGACACTGAAGGAACCCAGGTGGAAGAGCAAGGGTTAGTTAGAGACCGGGAAGGGCAACAGAATGCAGAGAGACAGGACTAGAATCGGGCATGGTCTAGAAAGAGGCCACGTTCTTTTAAAAAATGAGGGGATCTAAAAGTGTCAGCTCAAATCCAGCCAATCCAGAGGTTGTGTAGCTGACATTGAGCCAGTATCTGGATACAGACTCTCCTGGGCCTTGGATATTTAAAAGGACAAATGATGCTTTTGATTGTTTTTAGCAAAATTCAAACAAACTGCTCACAATCATATCTTGGTTTGGCACAGTCCAACATAAAATTCATCTCCCCCTACCCCACCCCCTAGGAACAATGTCCTGTGCCAGAGCCTTGGTGATTAATCCAAGTAACAGACACATGTGACTATTGCTAACTAGTGGACAACTTGAAGCCTAAAAGATACTTATTCCTGTTATAGGCTGAACTGGCCTCTATCAGTTTGTATGTTGGAAGCCCAACATTCAGAGTACTTGCATTTGGAGACAGGGCCTTAAGGATGAAATGAAACTAAACGGGGTTACAAAGGCCCTTACTACAATATGTCTGATTCCCTTAGAAGATAGGAGCACAGACCCTGGAGATAAAGGGATGGTCATGTGACTGCCTGTGAGCCAAGAGGCCAGGCCAGGAGAAACCAAACCAGTCAACCCTTGATCTGGGGCTTCCAGGCCCCCAGGACCACGAGGAATAAATGTCTTTTACTTAAGCCACCCATTATATGACATTTATTATGACAGCTTGACCAAATGAATAAACTCTTTCAAAACAGAAGCATCACAGATAGCAAAGAAGGCCACAGGGAATCAAAATTCTCCGTGTCCTCCTACCTAGTAATGTCTGCCACTGTTCAGCACTCCTGGAATGGAGAGCCTTGCCCTTACCTACAAGGACTCCAGCACTGGCCCAGCACTTGGCACAGGGCAAGCACTACGTGGCTGGTGAAGCATCAGAGTGCAAACTAGCATCTGGGCCAGGGTCCAGGGCCTCCTGCCTGTGAAGCAGGCTCCAAGCATGCTGCCCTTGGGGATCAGCACTGTGCTCCCACGGAAAACGAGCAAGTGGAGCCACCTCAGCTTGTGAAACAGGGACATGTACCTCACTTAAGTCATCTTTGTGTCCCTTAAGATCAACTGGCAAAACAAGGAGGGCCTACACTAGGCACCTCTGTGTCAATAGACTTGGACACATCCCTGGCCCTTTTGTGTTTCAGTTTCTCTGTGTGTCCCATTAGCTGGGCAGACGAGGTGAGGTGGAGAGGAGTGGACACATACCTGTTAGGGAGGGGGAAATGAAGCAGCCTCTCGCAGACAGGGGGATGACCCCGGGGCGGTGGGGTCCCTACAGGGAGAAACAGACCCTGGTGACAGGAGGGGCTGGGACCCTCGGCCAGGTCCAGGTCCAGCAGGCTCTTCTCTGAACAGTGCCCGTAGCTCCCGTTCACTAGGCAGAAACAACAGGAAAGAGGACACAGGTGAGTGAACAGCTACCAGGGAGCTTGGGGAGAGGACACAGCCCTGAAGCCATCTGAACACCCTGCTGCATTTGAGGCTTGGGACACCTTATTTGATTCCCAGAATCTCTTGGCAGAACCTGTGACAAAAATCTTCAGTCTCAGTGTGCATGCTAAGCTCCATTGCTTGAATGACTGTCAGCAAACAGTGTGTCCTGTGAATCAGACACTGTTCCAGGAGCAAGAAACACTGGTGAGCCAAACCGATGGTGCCTTGAGGCCCGCAGACTGCTATCTACAACCATCTCAGAGCAGGAACTTAGACCCTGGCCAAGGGTTCAGGTTCTGATTTCTGGACTTGGGGGTGCGATCCCAGGTCTGCCTCAGTGGTTGGATTGGCGATGCTGCACCAGTGGGCCCTGGAACTAGAGATGTTTGGGGCACATGTGTCAAGAAGGAGGTGTCTGTATCTGGGGCCACTTGGTACCAAAGCCCCCCTCTATACTGCTTTCCAAATCACATCACACCACAGACAATATGGTTATTTGTGTCTCTGTGTCCTGTGGTTCTCTGGTGGTCCAACTATCCTATACTCTACACTCCTGTCTGCCTAATGGTTTTATGAATGCCTTGGTTGAGGCTTTATGTAGAATGGCTCTTAAAACCCCACAAAGTGAACAAAAATGTCCGATATGCTTGTTATAAGCCTCTCCCATCACCCCTCAACCACAGTTATGCATCTATGGGCAAGGGCAGTTAATCTGGAAATTATTCCTTTGGGCTTTATGCTCTGTCACTTCTGGGGGTAATACTTTAAGGTCCTGAGGAACATGGCATGAGCCTCTTCACTTCCCAGAACCCATCCTGCAACTCAGGCACATCCTGGTGTATGTCTGACCCCCTGCTCCTCTGGGTACCATGGGATGTACAGTGCTAGCACCTATAGGAGCATCAGGAATGGAGAGTACTCATAGGTTATAGGTCACTTTGAAACCTTAAAATGCCCTAGAGACATGATAAAATGCTACAAACAGCCCAAGTAGTCTAAGTACTGTCAACCCTGAGCAAGAGAACAGGAAATCCCTAAGCTAAAGACAAGGACATCAATGAGGCCACATATGGTGCATACCAGCCACAGGTTCCCCACTGCTTGTCGAGGCATATGAGTATTTTAATTTCTATTTAATACATGGGGAAACTGAGGCTCGTGCAAACTACACTGATCACTCAAGAACACACAGCTAGAAATCTGTGTTGGGCTCTCGTCCTGAGTCTGCCAGACCCCAACCCCACACCACAGCTTCTGTGTGATAAGAAGTAGCCTTTTAACATAGCATTCTAGTCCTAGCTGAGCTGAGACCATGTCGCTAGTGAGAGGTACTAACTCTCCCTGTCTCTGAACAGCGCTTCACAGCATTCGGATGAGAAGGCACAACTTTCAAGGCCCTGGGTTGGGTGAGGGCTAGATATAACATCTGTTTCACGCCATTTCCCTGCCGGCACTGGCCTGCCCTGCTGCGTGGACCACTGGCTCTGCTGGATTCGGCGGCTGCCCAGCCAGCCCTTCTTAGGGTTATGTTTTAATAACTTGGTTGTTTTTTAATTAAAAAGAAATCCCTGGTAACAAATGTGAATGGTCTGAGTTAATGAGAGCAGGCTGCAGCTCATTTAACTCCGGCTCTGCTTGGCTGTCCTGCCTTTTCCAGATCATTTCTGCATGCAGTTTTATTGTCCCACTGAGGCAAACTCTAGGATTGGCCTCCAAAAACTGTGGATAATTTTATGACCATTAATGGCATTTGGAGCAAAGAGCATCACAGGGGGCTGTTCTGCCAGAATCTCTCCCAGATCCTGGAGGTTAGGGTGGTTCTAAGCTTCCCTTCAGGACCATCTGAGCCCTCTGGGTCCTGTGCCTCCTCCTGCAAGTACAAGGCTGAGTGCAGAGAAGGAAGGTGGACTTGAGGAGCAGTGGTGACAGGCCCAGGAAGCAGTGGCGATGGGCCTGGGTAGCAGTGGCGATGGGCCTTGCATTTATTTAGCCCTTCCTCCTCAAGCCTCCTGGTACCCATCCAAGGCTTGTGGCAGTTTTTCTCTTTTTTTTTCCCAGCTGGGCTGAAGAGATGGAAGGCCTTTGACCAGGCTCAGGAACACAACCCAAGTCTAGACCTCTTAGACTTTGAGACCCAAGTGTTGTCCCATCCTGTCCCTCCCTTCCCCAACAAGTGTTCCCAAACAGGACTTCAGTGAAAGCAGACACAGTAGGGTTAACTGGTTTGCCAAGGCCACACAGGAAAGATAGGCTGAGCTGATTACAGTCATCAGCAACAAACAGTAGATCAATGGTTGGACCTTTTAGCTGCTTCTCTGCTGGATTCAAGGAGAGCTCTCTCTGCAATAAACAACTGATATTGGAAAGGAGGGGAGAGGCTCTGGGGTCAAGGATGGCATTGCCTGGTGCCCCAAGCCTACTCAAATCCTTGTCTCCTGTACTCCACTAGGCCCTGTGGGAAGGTGTTACCCCTGAACTTGGCAGTGCTGAGTGCCAGAGCTGACAATTGGCCACCCAAGGTCACATAGCAACCACTGGCACATCTGGAGCTCTAGTCCATGCCGAACTGCTCTATGTCTCCCACTTCCTCAAAGGCCAGACATCAAACCAAAGGCTGTCATCTATGTCCCAGGGATACATCCACCCTTGCCTGTCACACGCCCAGGTCTGCTGGAACAAATGTAAGCGCTGTCTCTTCTCTGGTAGTCTTTTTCTCTATCCCCAAGGGTACCACGAGGCCTCCTCCTGTTCACATTTGTCTCCAGGATCTTCTCTGGCGATCGGGAGGATGGGAGTTCTTCGTCTAGTGTCCTGCTGCCCTAATGAAGGGTCATCCAGACAAAGCAGGGCACCCAGCAGCTGTGTCTCCTTCTAGGCCATGAAAACCAAGAAACCTACACACTGGCTTTCTCCAAGCACATGAAGCCCCTTGAGAAATGATGAGAAATCCTACAAAGTCAGGGCTGGAACTGACCATCTGTTCCGTCAGTATATGAAGAAACAGTCTCTAAAAGGAAAAGAACTTTGTGTGGCCTCACAGCACATTCACAGAAGACCTTGAACTGGCACTTCTGAAAGCAGGTAAGAAACTGATCTGGTTTCCCGGTCTAGCCTCAGTTTTCTTGTCTGTACAATGGTGTCGACACCTACTTCTTAGGGTTGTGGTGACAAGGGAGATTATAGAATTCATATGATGGGGACTTAAGCTTATAGAACACTCAAAGAGTAAGAATGATGCTACTTATTCTGTGCTTCCTGGAGCTCAGGTGGGCTCCTCAGAGCAGTCTATCTCCAGGCAGGCAAGGTCTACATGGTCCAAAGCCAGACTCCGAAGGACAAACCTCCAGGCTTAAGGTTCACCAAATGCAGGGCTTAGCAGTCTGACTTAAGCACCAAAGAGCCAGTCTGAAGCAAGCGGCTCTTCCTGTATAGCCAGAAGCTTTGTAAAGTTACCATAATGCCTTGAATATAAAGTAGACACACACCCAAGGTGACTCCCACAGGAACATGGCTTCATGCTGAAAACAGCTGCCCTCAGCATTCAAGGCCCAGGGGTGCCTCCCGCAGCCATTTGCAGCCATCTTCAGGGACCATAAAAGCCTACATGCTAACTGTTTTCTGTTTTCTAACAAGGTTTTCAGAGCCAAGCACGTACCAGGAACACGTAGCAGCACTTCAAAGTTCATAAAAACTTCACAGTCCTCATCTGTGAGCTTCATTGCAGCTCTTAGGAGCTGGCTAGGCAGGCCCAGAGTGGCATGTAAGCTGCCCAAGTCCACACAGCAAGTACAGAGCTCAGAAGGGCCTGACTGACTTAGCCACCTAGTCAGCAAAGTATTTCTGTAAAATGCAACCAGTAGACAACCAGCAACTGACTGGGGAGCCACAGCTACTCCACTCTGCCACAGAGGAACCCAAACAACACTGGAACAAGAAGGGCTGCACTTCCAGCAGGACTTCGTTAGAAAGATGGGTCCCTGGCTCTTTGGGATGTGATGGTTTGAATATGAAATGTCCTTCAGAGGCCCATGTATTTGAACACTCGATCCCCAGCCAGTGGTACAGTTTTAGGAGGTTGTGAAACATTTGGGACAGGCTTTTGAGGGTTATAGTGAGGCCTGGCTTCTGGCCCAAGCTCTCAACTGCCATGATATGAATGAATGGCTGCCTCATGCTCCTGCCCCCTTGCCTTCGCAGTGATGGACCGAAACCGTAAACTGAAACTTTAAACTTCCTTAAGTTTATACAGGTATTTTATCACATGATAAGAAAGGCAACCACAGCTGTTAGTCTGTTCATCACTGGCGGAGCCAGGGATTCAGTCTGGAAATGCTAAACTTTCCTACATCTACAAAGTGGGGAGACATTTATTGGTGGCCCCAACAGTGGAAAGTCAACCACTCAGAGCAAAGCCGGTTCTGGTGGGTACACTGATGGATGGGGCTCCAGCCTGGCTCTAGGGCCCCACAGCCTGGGCTCACCCATCCATCTGGGTGTTACCTCTCATTATTACAATGTTTTGCTAAGTCATGTCCTTACCGATCCAGAGCCCTGTAGAAGTCCCTCTCCTCCAGAACATTCCCTGGTCTCAGGCCTCTAGAAGGTCCCCTACCACTCAGCTCATAGAAGCCCTGTGAGTAGCTGCTACACAGGTGCCCCTGTGTACATGGCCCAGGCCTGTATTTCACATCTCATTTCTATCCCCAGAGTTGGATTATCCCCTCACCTCCAGCTGCTGTACTGCCACAGTGGCTTGTGGGAACACTTAAAGCTCTGCCTCCCCCCAAAGCCTGCTATAGCCCCAGGACAAAGATCTTAGTCTCAGAACTGTTGTTAGCAGGCCTAGCTCCAGATGTGAACTGGCCCAACCTTCTCCATACAGGGGCCCGGCTGTGGAGGAAGGAGTTTGTCGATCCTATCCATCAGCTGAGGATGTGTCCC